AATGGCTGCAATATAACAAAGAGTGAAAAATTTAAGGGGGTCTGAATACTTTCCGTACCCACTGTATATCTATATGCAATTATGTATGCAATACAGAGTGCCACTCGGTTTTATATACATGCTATATACAGTTGAGTTAACCTATATGCTCTATAAAATTTACTTATCACTTGTCACTAATAGAGCTAATGACACAAATAGAATAGAAAATTCTTAGAAAAAAATACATTGTAAATTGTAAAAATACAAAATAAAAAAAATACAAAAAAAATCAATTTTCTCAGCAAACTGAGGTACAAAATACTTTGGTTATAGAATCTTGATCTTTCAGATTGAGTATTTATTTTTCATATATTATTCTGTACTTTATTTTATACAGTTAAAGAAATCAATGAAAACAATTATAAAATATTAATTTAAATACTGCATTATTAATAAACTATTATATATGATTAAATATTTATAAATGTATAATATAAAATAAAAATATATAAATATCAATATTTACTTAAATTATATATGACCATTTATTATAATTATTTTATATCAAGTTTGAGGTCAGTAAATTTTTTAAAAGAATTGCCTTACACTCACCAAAGCTGCATTTATGTAATGAAAAAAATTATAATAATGTAATCAAAACAGTAAGATTTTGAAATAATATAAAATTTTAAAATAAGTGTTTTTCATTTTATTATATTTCAAAATATAATTTCTTCCTGTGATCCTGTGTAGCAGTCATTACTCCAGTCTTCAGTCACATGATTCTTCAGAAATCATGTTGATTTTATTAAAAGAAACATTTCTTACATACATTTTTTGAGACACTGCCATGGCATTCTGCCCTTACTTTCACACCCAAGATCTCCAAGAATACAGACTGCGAGAACTGTGAATCTTCAACATCTGAATTATTAATCAATTCCCCTCACACCATGCCAATGTGGGCAGGTGTGGAGGACAATTATGAGACATGTACAGCATGAACGTGTTAAAGCAATGCAGTGCTTTAAAACGGAGCTAAATTCTGTGATTTCATGATTCCTGAAGGAGTGTCTCGGTGAAGAAATGGTGACATACTGTCTTCCACTACATGCAACCAAAATCACTTTAATAACCCATCATTAAGGGGTACAGCTATATTAATGCAATTAAATTGTTTTAAACCCCACATTTCCTTTCATTTAACTTGATTTATGAGCTTTGAGCATTTTAAACATGTCATAAAAACAGTGAATACCTCAGGTGTTTTGATGCATTGCCAAGAACAAGGTCAAGCGTCAAGCTTGACACACTGACTCATAAGTTTCCAGTCTAACTTATGAAATCTGAGGTCAGTGGTGCAAAAAAGGAGTACGTGACATTTGCAATACAGAGTGCCACTCAACTGGAGGCAAAATAATAGATTTTTTAGATGTAACAGGTGTAAGACAAACATCTAAAAATAGATTTAAAACAATATAGACCAAAAACAATGTTTTTTTTTTTTTTTATAATTTATAATTTTTATTTATATTTAAGCCCCAAATATATCCAAGCCTCAAAGCTAAACACAGTTATTCGCAAGACAGAGACAGAGAAAAGTCTATTTCACAGTCACTGGCAAAATATTTACTATAATATAATGAAATCTTTGCAATTAATAGGTTAAAAAAATTATATAGTGGAGTGTTTGAGAAAAAACTTATTTGAAAAGGCATGATTTGTGAAAAAAACTGAATTGCAATTTTTCTGATTAAAATTTTGCAATTTGGAATACGATAAAAAAAAAAAAATCAGGTTTGCTTTGCTTGTTTGTAGCCCTACACATTTTGGCCAAAATTCTGTAATTTTATATCAATACGGACAATGTGTTGTGAACTACTGGTTAATTTTCTGTTCTGTTTTTTCATTTTTAAGCAACAAAATACAACCAAAAAAAATTGAGTATTAAAAATGTTATAATAATAAAAAGAATTACTAAATAAAAGTAAACAAATTACATAAAAAAAGAAAAAATAATATGGTAATATTCCACTGTAAAATAAAAAAATTAGAGTATACATGTATTTATTTTTAAATTACAACAGTAGAATTACAATACGAATATTTATGGCTGTCTTAATTTCTTAATTTTAAACTTTTATTTTAATGTAAAACTGCAGTAAACCCTTACAGCTTCTTTTTTTGTTGACAACTGCTTCTCATTACAATGGGAACGAAAGAAGGTTGGCGTGCGTTGCGTTCCCAAATGCAGAATGCAAATTACAGCGACCCAGACTGAGAGTGTGAAGCAGCATTTATTGCGAACCAAACCACTCTGAGACGCTGCAAACACCAGCAGATCATGAGCTGCCCACATGTCAATTAACACAATGCAGCGCTTCACTCTGGAACACGCAGTGCATATAGTTATTTAAAGGGGTCATATTATGCGATTTCAATTTTTCCTTTCTCTTTGGAGTGTTACAAGCTCTTGGTGCATAAAGAAGATCTGTAAAGTTGCAAAGACTAAAGTCTCAAATCCAAAGAGATATTCTTTATAAAAGTTAAGAGTCAGCCACACCTACCTAAAACGGCTCGTTCTAACACGCCCCCACATACCTACGTCGCTCTGTGGGAAGATTTGCATAACGCCGCCCAAATGTTCACGCAAAGAAAGAAGGCGTAACTTTTATTCTCACTGTAGTATTGTTGCCACACAGCGTCTCCATATCCTGAAGACGCTGTGTGCTTCGTTGTGAAAGCGAAACTACTTTGTTTGGTCTTCCAAAAGAGGACGATATCCGCTTCGTCATGCCTAGAGCTGATCCGTGCTGGTCGCTGAGGGAATACAACAGTATGGTGAGGGGCGTAACATTTCCGTCTCACGCTTGAGGTATTCGGCCAATCACAACGCACTGGATAGCTGGCCAATCACAGCACACCTCGCTTTTTCAGACCGATGAGCTTTGTAAAAATCGACGCGTTTCAAAAAGGCGGGGCATAGAGGAGAAAGAATAATGTACAGTATGTGGAAAATAATGTGTTTTTTTTACTTTAAACCGCATAAACACATTTCATTACACAAAATACACAAAATAATGTTCTTTTTAGCAGCATCATATGACCCCTTTAATGAAATCCCATGTTACTTATACTCAATCTGCATTAGTCACAAATTGAAAAAGTTAAATCATTGTGTATCTGATGAAGCTTTACCTCTTCGTCCTCTTCCGTGTAGGGGTTGTAGCGTTGCTCCATCATTTCTCTCTGCCATCTCTCCTGCTCCAGTGTCTGCTGGATCAGCTGGGCCACCTCACTCTGTTCCCCCGGCTTCTCCCGGCCAATCACAAACCTGCAACACACAAACACACCAGTCAATCAGATAAGACCTAGTGGACTAGCTGTCATTCCTTAAGTGAGTTCTGTACTGTTTTCAGGTGTGATGATTTACAGGACGAAAAGACCTGCATTATAAAGCCTAAAAGGCTCAAAACCTTCATCAGCATCCTGCTGGATGCCTTCAACTGCATCCTATTTAAAAGTGACTGATTGTCAGTCGCTTCTGTGCTGAGGTATTCCTCACAAATAAAAGTTATTATTAAACATCTTCTCTCCCACTGGACTTGAGCCTCGTCTATTAATCACATTTTCCATTTCCCTGCACTACAATCAAGCACCATCCACGCCTAGCCAGAACAGCTTAAGAGAAAACAGGACGCAGATGCGTGAGCTTGTTTGAAATGCCACAACTACCCAATCCCTCATCTTGACAGTAGATGCAACCACACAGGTCTTAGATCTTTGTTAAATCAAAGTAACAGAAAGCAGCAATCTATTCGATACACAGCATTGTCAGGGCAATATTAGAGATGATAATGAATCAGTGAGCATCTGATGCCAAATGAGATGACTGAAGATAATGCTGGATTAAATAGAGGGAAATTAAATTCTAATACACTAAAGCCTGAGGTCTCCCTGAATTTTTGGTACAAAAACACGTGCAACAAAGGTTCAAAATGAAGCAGTGGATCTCTGTGAACACATTCACACTAAGTCTGATAATACTCCAATGACATATAGCTTTTTAATTCTTTAATTTTTTTATTGTTTGGATACAGAAATAAAGAAGTTTGGCATTGGTCTAGATATTTTTTGAGTGAATATTTTAGAATTTTATATAATTTTTGTCATATACTGTATATGTGACTCTATCACACACACATTACCGTTTCAGATCACTAAGATTTTTATTTTTTAAAAGGAAATTAATGCTTTTATTCAGCAAGGACACAATAAACTGATCAAAAGTGAGTTTTTAGAAATTGTTTAGAAAAAGATGTATTTCAAATAAATGCATGATTATAAAAAGAATCCTTCTGAAGGATCATGTGACACTGAAGACTGGAGAAATGGCTGGTAAAATTACATAAAAAATATATTCTAATATAAAACGGTTATTTTAAATTTAATACTAATTCACAAAATTCATGTTATGACTGTATTTTTGAATTAATAAATAGACTTTTAAAAAATATTAAAAAACACCCCAATCTTTAATAAAAAATAAATAAATAAATAAATAAATAAAATAAAATATGACCTGGCTAAACCTTGACCTGTGAGATTTCACATGAAGTCTCTATGAAAAAGTTGTTTAATTTCCTTACTTGACAGTGCCGCTGGTGTTCCTAAGGACCGATGCAGCGAAATTCTGGGTCACGCCCACCAGACTGGTTCCATCCACCTCCACGATCAGATCATTCACCTGGATCCTACCGGAAGGAAAAATAACCAGGACAGCTCAGGGAGGAAAAGTGCATCTGTAAAATGGCTGCTACATCTTGGGCCAAGATACTGATCAATCTCATCACTATACGTGGACAGGAACTGACAATGCCAAAGGAATCATTTATTCAGTCTGAAAGCTGACCAACAGCAGCAGTGAATCAGTGCCTTGCCTAACTAAACCTCTTCTTGTATTCCAAGCCGTTAAAATGATCGATCGATCCTCTCAGTCATAAAAGATGCCAATCTATCCAGCCCCATCCAAAACAGTCCCCGGTAGCCTGTTTGCCAAGGCAGATGTATGTTTGATAGACAGCAGGAGAACCAATGAGGAGCCAGAGAGTGAAGGTGAGGTCCTTTCAGAGCGCTAAAGTGTCTGTCCCACTCAATACATGTGGCGACAGCTCATTTCAGCATTGGCTTATTAGATTTTTATGTCTCCTGTGGCTTCCAGGCCGACTGTTTCTAACTGTCATGCCAAAATGAGGAAGAAGCCACTGCAATGCAGCATGAACCTACTGACTCAAGACTGGAGAGAAATAACTAACGTTGTGAGTTTTTAAGATTCCTAACACTCGTTAAATCTCCTGCGCTCTAAAGGAACATCATAAGCAAAAGTGGGCTTCTCTAAGCTGAATTGCTGTTATTTTTCAAAGAGCTCTTGAGCTTGACAGATAGAAATAGCTTCTCTGTGACCGCCATGACTCACTCCAGGGTCTGAAGAGCTCAGATGCCATTGCAAGGTCAGATTCTACTCATTATAGATCAATAAATACCATCCCTCCATCTAGGCCTGGGCGATAAAACGGTATCGATATTTATCGACGGTACACCTTCTTCGATATCGATAGAAAAATTGTTCGATATAGCACACGATATAGGCACTATGAGTGACGCAGACAGCACACACAAACACGAATGCTGAAATGAGTGCTGTGCCTGCCTGTGATGAGGAGATTGTGAATAAAGAATGAATATTAGTTGAATTTAAAATAAACATTTGCATTTGAATGTTAGGTGTGCATCAGGGAGCATCATCAGTGGCGCGTGAGATGCGTTGATGATGTGAGTGACGTTTTTGCATTTGAATGTTTTGTTAGTCTAGCCCACGAGACGCGCCACTGCTGCGTTATTCATTCAAAATATTAGAGAAATATAGAAGCTCAATGCGGAGAAGATCTTGAATGGGTTAAAACCGAAACCAAGCCATTCACACAGAACGCATATTCAGCGCATTTTTTAGACGGACAAATATGACTGCTGCACTCGCGTCTCACATAAGAGATGTAGTCATGCAAAGTTAAAAGAGTTTAAACTTTTACAAAACACGTCGTGAATTTGTGGAGGTTTATTCATTTTCACTGCGTCTCATATGTTTTTAAATGCAATCTGTGTGAATGGCGCTTCGGCTCTTTGGATTAAGCAATGCATAA